CCTGGTATATTCAAAAACTGAAGACAAGCATACAGAATATGTGAAATGTGTCCTTGGAAATTTCGCGAGCATAAGTACTATGCGTGTTTGTGGAAATGTCATTTTTGCAAACGTGAGCTAGATGTCAGAATGTTATCTTATGCTCTAGCCTGTAGTGGGGTGCTCTATAGCGAGTACAACCCTTCTAGGGTTTCCTATTTGTATCCCCATTCTTGCTAGTGCAATCCTCTTCTTCTCTCTTCTCTCTTTTAAACTTTAACATGCTATCAGAGCAGGTCGATCCCCTTGGATCGATCCTGTGGGTGGGCTCACCACCTTGTTGCTTCCGCTGCAACTGCTACTGCTACTCTCTGTGCCGCACGCTTCGTGGCGTGCGGCAGTTTTTCTTCCCGCCGTGCGCCCCGAGGCGCGCGGCGGTTTTCTGCCCGCCGTGCGCCCCGAGGCGCGCGGCGGTTTTCTGCCCGCCGTGCGCCCCGAGGCGCGCGGCGGTTTCCTGCCCGCCGCGCGCCCCGAGGCGCGCGGCGGGTCGCGCGACCCCTACAGCCCCGTCGCGCCGCCCAGGGGAGCCGCGCGCGACCCCTGCAGCCCCGTCGCGCCGCCCAGGGGAGCCGCGCGCGGCCCCTGCAGCCCCGTCGCGCCGCCCAGGGGAGCCGCGCGCGGCCCCTGCAGCCCCGTCGCGCCGCCCAGGGGAGCCGCGCGCGGCCCCTGCTGCCCCGTCGCGCGGCCCTGCTGCCCCGTCGCGCTGCCCAGGGGAGCCGTGCGCGGCCCCTGCTGCCCCGCCCCGTCCCCGACCTGCCCCGGCCCCGACCTGCCCCGGCCCAACTCCCGTCGCCCGTCGCGGCGCCCTGGGGGGGGCCTCTACCGGGGGCCGCGCGTTGCCCCCCCCCCCCCCCTACCTCCCTACCCTGTTTTTAGGGTTTGGGGGGTAGTGGTTGGGGGGTGGCGGTTGGGGGGTGGCGGTTGGGGGGTGGCAGGTGTGTGGCGTCGCCTGCTCCTCCTCCTCCTCCGTCTCCCTGTGCTGCAGCTGCCGCTGAGGGGGGGTGGACGTGTTGGAGCCGGTGGAGTGGTACTAAGGGGGGGTGAAGGGGGAGTGGAGCTAGCGGTGTAGCAGCGGGTGTGTGCCAGGGGGGAGTGGGATAGTTTGGGGAAGCTGAATGGAGGTTGCCGTCGTGTCGCCAGCAGCACCTGTATTCCGGGGACTTCGTCCGGTAGCCCAGTCGTAGCCAGCTGTGCCAGCCGCCCGTGGGTCCGTTGCTCGTCTGCCGCTACTTTAGCCGCGGGGCCTGTTACTCCTGTATTCCGGGGACTTCGTCCGGTAGCCGCTGTGCCAGTCTGCCTCCTGTTGCCCGTGTGTCTGCAGCTTCAGCCGTCGCCCCCTATCTCCTCTCCTCTCACTCTCTCTCCTCCTCCTCACTTGCCCGTTGTGACTACCACTAGCTTTGCTCATAATTGTGAACTTAAACTATTGCTTCTTGAACTTGTGCTCAGAATGTGTGGTGACATTGTGATCCACCCTGAGCTTGTACTCCTTTGCTTCCTCTGCTGATTACACCCCACTTTGGCTATGGGGGTGTGTCAGAATGTTATCTTATGCTCTAGCCTGTAGTGGGGTGCTCTATAGCGAGTACAACCCTTCTAGGGTTTCCTATTTGTATCCCCATTCTTGCTAGTGCAATCCTCTTCTTCTCTTCTCTTCTTCTCTCTTCTTTCTTCTAAACTTTAACACTAGAGTATTGGGGCACGTGGTGGGGAATAACGTGTTAAAAGTGGACCTTAAGAAGGTAGCAGCTGTCCGGGAATGGCCTGTCCCACGCGACGTTGGCCAACTTCGATCATTCTAAAACATGGCAAATTATTTTCACCGCTTCTTAGAAAATTATTCCACGATAGTCGCTCCTCTCACGGCATTAACCCATAAAGGGTGTACATGGGAGTGCACTCCATAGTGCCAAAAGGCCTTTGAAGAGGTCAACTATAAAATTACTAACACACCAGTTTTTGTGTTGCCAAACCCACAGAAACTATATGAGGTGGTTACAGAGGCCTCAACGGTGGGACTTGGAGTAGTGCTCCTGCAAGAAGGACGCCCTATGGCATTTGAGAGTAGAAAACTCTCCTTAGCAGAGAAACGCTACACGACTACCGAAAAATAGTTGTTGGCTGTCGTGCATGCGCTAAGAACATGGTGCTGTTATTGAAAGGGGTAGAGTTCATGGTCACTACTGGCCATTGTCCGAACACATATTTCTTTACCCAGGCTACCCTCACTCGCCGCCAGGCTCGTTGGGCTGAACTCCTCCGTAGGTTCAGCTTCGACATTTGTTATTGTGCTGGTTCCACGAACCTGGCTGACCCCCTCAGCAAACAACCGATAGGGGCGGCAACCGGGCTTGACGATACAGAGCATGCGGTTGTTTTTTCTGCCTGTTTTAGTATACTACTTGCGTAAAAAATGAGCGAGATTGCATTGATTGGATTTCTTAAACAAATTCGTACATGATATCACATTGATTCCTAGTTTCAGAACCCACAGAACACCAAACATTTGACATGGGAACACGATCTTTGGTGGCGAAGAAAAGAGATTGCGGTACCTCATGTACGCAATCTGCGGAACGATATTTTGGAAGAGGTGCATGCCACTACATACGGGGGACACTTGGGCATGAATAAGACCCCGTGGGCCTTACATGATATATATTGGTGGCCAGGAGTCGGTAGTGACGTTCGACAGTTTGTTGCACGTTGTGACACGTCTGCACGTAACAAACTAGACACACAGACGCTTGGTGGTTTGCTTCAGCCACTTTGAATTCTGAGTGAGCCTTAGGGAAGTGTTTTACCATATTTCATCACCAACCTCCCAAGAACCCGTGATGGGTATACGGCGATACTCGTGTTTGTGGATCGCCTTACAAAAATTGTTCACTTCGTACCAACGTCAACGGATGTATCAGCAGAAGATACTAGTCGGTTGTTCGTGACACATTTGTTCTGCCTACACAAATTGCCATGTGTATTAGTGTCTGATTGTGACATACGCTTCACAAGCCGATTCTGGCGTGAAGTAACCCAAATACTGGGAACGAAGCTTAAGATATCGTCAGCGTTCCGTGCCCGGACAGATGGGCAAACGGAACGATCCAACCGCATTCTCGAACAGATGCTTCGTTTTTTCATAAGCCCAACACAGGACAATTGGGATGAGTTGTTACCCATGGTCGAGTTTGCGGTTAACAACTTGGTGCATGACAGCACACATGAAAAAAACATTTATCCTGAACGGTGGTCAGCATCCCACAACACCTGCTATGCATGGGAGCGGCGGTTTAAAGTTACCGGTCGCAAAGGATTTTGTGGGCCAGCAACGAGTAGCCCTGCAGTCGGCACGTTGACGGCTCCAATTAGCCCAGCAAATAAAAAAATCCCATGCCGATATGAAACGCCGGAAAGTTTCACTCTCCGTTGGAGACAAAGTATTGTTAAGCACAAAGAATATTCGGCTTCAGATCCCTTGTGCGATAATGTTGTTCCCTCACTGGATTGGGCCCTTCGAAGTGGTTCAACGAGTTGGTGTGGTAGCTTACAATCTCAAGCTACCTGATACCCTTCAGATTCACAATGTCTTCCATGTGTCTCTGATAAGCAAGTACGTTGCAGAAGGCAAGTTTTCAAACCACCAACAACAATCGTCGTAGGGGAGGAACTATACTATGAAGTTGAGCGCATGCTTTTGCATTGTGATCGACAACGTGGCCGCAAGACTGTACGAGAGTTCTTCATTAAGTGGAAAGGCTATGGGCCTGGGCATAACTCTTGGGAGCCAGAAGAACATTTGACTGATGCTGCGGTTCAGCCTTACATGGAAGACCTGGCTCAACGAGCACCCCCACAACCAGCGGATGGTGTTGACCCTGGTCGTAATGTGGTCCCTCGTGCTCGCAGCACTCGTCTTAGGCAACGAGGACGTAGCCAGCTGGAGGGGGAGGAGTGTAACATTCCAACCACTGAACTAGGTTCAATGAACCTGGTGTAGGGAAACATGGGGAAGCGAGATTGGTTGGGAAATAGGAGATGGTTGGGAAACCAACCAATCGGAAACAATGCTGTGCAATTGTTGACAGAACCTATGGGATTGGCTGGTATTAGGGTACATTCCTGCGGGGACACTTGTGTCTCAATCACTTTGTGACATCTAAAAACAGCACCTCATGGCAACGAGGACGTAGCCAGCTGGAGGGGGAGGAGTGTAACATTCCAACCACTGAACTAGGTTCAATGAACCTGGTGTAGGGAAACATGGGGAAGCGAGATTGGTTGGGAAATAGGAGATGGTTGGGAAACCAACCAATCGGAAACAATGCTGTGCAATTGTTGACAGAACCTATGGGATTGGCTGGTATTAGGGTACATTCCTGCGGGGACACTTGTGTCTCAATCACTTTGTGACATCTAAAAACAGCATATACCTGTCAGAATGTTATTATCTAGCCTGTAGTGGGGTGCTCTATAGCGGGTACAACCCAGTTAGGGTTTGCTATATGTATCCCAACTGCTGCTAGTGAAACCCCTCTTTTCTGTTTCTAACTTTCGTACTGCCTGATTCTGACAATACCGTGCCCTGTCACAAACGCGGATCGCGCTAATTCGATTCCCACTGTATTTTACATTGGTCGGCGTGAATTACGCGGGTGTCGCGGACGAGTTACACGAGGCCCCGTCACCTCCCGAAAATCGCACGCGTGTCGAAATCTCACAATGTACAGCATGCACCTGGACGCCCGAATCGTGCACGTTTCTGCGCGGGAAAGGAAACCGCTCTGCCCGGGCTGACAGATGACTGGTCCTTCAGCCCACACGGTCATCCCTGCCCGACTGTGCCCACCGTTCCAACCACGCTGACAGCACTCTCCCACTCCAATCTATTCTTCTTCTCCAAACCCCAGCTCTCTCTTTCCTGTTGCGAAGTCCTAGCCACCGTCTTCTTCCACGCCGTAGCCATGGCCCGTAAGCGCAAGAGCGTAGCTAGTACTGCTGACTTGTGCCCGCGGGATCTCAACGAGATCCCGTACATCGCCTGGATGAACAAGCAGATCGCTGGCGGCCGCAAGCCCGCCGGACCGTTGCCGGAAGGAGCGCCTGGTGCGGGAGACACCTCGTTCGAGGCCCTGCGCGATGTCCCTACCCGCGGACGCCGTCATGCCGACCGTGTTGCCTCATCCCGCGTCAACGACGATGCTGCCTTCGATGACGACGATGACGCCGCGGACTCTGATTACAACGAGTGCGACGAGGCCTGCGACGACGACGCGGACTCTGGCGAGGAGGAGGACAAGGGCATGTCCCCCTCCGAGGATGAAGTTGACGCCGATGAGGACGCCGAAGACGACGAAGACGCTCCCGAGGAGGCCCAGCCTGCGACCCCGGCTCCCCGTCGCGGCCGTGCCTCTGCCGCTGCGGGAACCAAGACTGCTGCGAAGGGCGGGGAACCTCCGCGTGCTGCTGCCACGACCCGCAACCTGCATCCTGTTAAGCGGAGCGTGTGGTCCCCCCGCGAGAACACGATCTTCGTGGCTGCACGTTGGTTCATGAAGGACGAGCTCGGACCCCTCCTCGGGAAGCAGGGCTCTCAGTACTGGGCCCGCCTCGCGCGCCATCTCGAGCAGGAGAATCCCGGGTGGGTGCGCGGCGTGAACGTGCTTCAGAAGCAGTGGCGCAATCTCGTCAACATGTACAAGCAGATCAAGAAGGGGGAGAAGGCGAGCGGCAAGGGTGCCGTGTGCAAGCCCCACTGGTACCCGTACATGGCTCTCTTCCAGAACAACAAGGCGGTGGGCAACCCTCACGCCGTCGACGGTGGAGGTGCGGCACACGTCAACGTGCCGTGCGGGTTCGCGGTTCCGTCCACTTCGGCGCCCTGCAACTCTACGCCGACATTCACTGGTACGTTTCCATTGGTGCAATGGTACTACTAGTTCGTTTTATGAATGACACATCGTGCAACGTCCGTTACGCACTTTTGACTTTCAAATTTTGGTTCAATACACAGCACATCTTCTAATGCTTGCGTGCGGCCACCGTGTGTGCAGCTCCACCTCCGCAGGGTACTCCCACGTCGAAGCGCCTACGTGTGGCAGAGACGGCAACGTTGGCCGCTGCCAAGCTGGTGTGCGAGACAATCAAAGGCTGCCACTCTGACGCCATGAGCAGGCTCGAAGGCCTCGTCCGCGCGTGGATGGAGCAGGACACGCGTATTGCTTGCGAACGCGTGCAGCAGCCCGCCCCCTCCCCGCCGGCCGGCGACGACATCCCAGTCCACGCGGACAACATGACCGCAGCGGACGCCGCCGAAGGCGGCGACGACGGCTGGCTCCGTCGCGGGCAGACGGGCGAAGACGCCTCTAACCCTGATGCGGGTGAGGAGGTGTGGTTTCGCGGCGCCGCCGAGTGAGGTAAGACGACTCCAGAGCCTCGCCCAGCCACTTGCGCCTTTCCCGCAGATTCCCTTGCGTGCACGGGTCACATGTTGTGCAGGATGACGCCACAAGACGCCCCTGCAAGAATGCGCCAGAGCTTGCAGTCATTGCGGCCCGCGAATAGACGCCACCGTCCTTTGAAGGCGCCGATGCAGCGTTCTACTGCCATGCGCGTTGCGCTTTGGCAATAGTTAAAGCACTGCTCCCAGTCCTCCATTAGGCCTTCACGGGGTGCATGTAGGGGGGTCAGGCAGAAGTCCCTGAGTGGGTAGGCAGCATCTCCCACTATTTGGTATGGCGCTATGTCGCCGTTGTGCAACCTTTCGTGTAACGCGCTGTTCATGAACACTCTCTGATCGGGCGCACTGCCCGGGTATCCGATCAAATAGTCCCATATGATGCCTCGCGCGTCGCATGTGAGCTGCAACTGGACGGCGTAACATGACTTCCGCGTGTCGTACTCTTGCCTGTGCCCCTCCATCCCCTTCATGGGAATGTGTGTGCCGTCTATAGCCCCCACTACCGCAGGTACCCCCTTGATGGCGCGGAACTCCTCGGCCATCTCATCGAGGTCGTCACGGGTCGGGAAGTGGACCCACTGCTGCTTGAAGACGGACGGGAAATGCATGAGGAGCGCGTCAACAAGCATGTGGCACAGAGTCTTGGACAGCCCGAACACGGAGGACAAGTCTACGAACGACATGCCGCTGGCCAGGTATTTGATAGGGACAAGGCATGCCACTTCGTGACTGATGAGGTACCTGTCCACAACAATTTCGACAGAGTATACAGTACCCTACACATGGACCACTCCTCCTCCTCCTCCTCCTCCTCCTCCTCCTCCTCCTCCCTCCTCCGGCATGTTTTCGCAGTCGTCGTCATCTGCCGCCATGGCGGCCTCCTCGTCCTCAGCAGGAGTGGTGTAGAGGGGGTTAAACCACTCCTCCACCTCAGGAGTGGCATGGACGTCTTCTGCCACCTCAACCTAGCCCGCATCCCGCATGTGGGCCAGGATGAGGTGATCCTCCCTGCTGTTCACAGCGTTGGTGATGCCCGTGGTGAGGAAAGCCTTCACAATGATGTGCTATGGCATATCCTCCCACGTGTCCGCGATCCACTTCAGGACAAGCTCCGCAGGGGGCTTCTTCAAATTTCCTGCGCAGGCCGCGGTGTACAAAACAGCAGGAGAGGCTTGGGTTGGAAGAGGACGTGATGCATGCATAAAGCACGGATAACAGTGCAGGCAACAAGTTAACGATACAACGTTTAGGCACAACATTCACGGACCTGCTGGCGTGAAACAGTTGACGCCGAATTCCGCAAACCATTCGTTGTAGTGCTGCCGCAGCCCCGCCTTGAACGAACGATTCACACTCACATCCAGGGGCTGCAGCAGTGGGGTGCAACCCCCCAGGATGATGGCGGGGACGACACGGTGCCACCTCAGGTTCGCTAGCACGCGATCCGTCAGGTGTCCCCTGTACGAGTCCAAGACCAGAAGGGTCTTGGACCGACGAATGCTACGTGGTGGCTTCACGAAGGGGAGGTTGGAATCCATCCAACCCCTCTCCTGTGCACGGATGATGACGCTTGCCATGCGTGCACACCAGGATTCATTAGCGGGTTTCTACGAAATAATCTACCGTTGGAAAACAAAATGTCAGCTCACCTGCAGGCACACGGATCTTGGGAAGCATCTTGCGTTTGAAGATGACTATTGCAGGGAGCTTACGGTCGTCCCCCGTCACACCAAGCATCACAGTTACTCTCTCTTTCTCGTAGCCCACGCTTCGGACATGCACCGTCTTCTCACCGCGGTGATGAAGGGTCCGCTCGGTTGGCATCTCCGGGAACACCGGGGTTTGATCCGCGTTAACGATGTTCCATGTGTCGATGCCCCACCTGATGACTTTCCGCCGGACGAACTTCCAGAAGGCTTCGCACGTCGGCTTGCAATCTGTCATAGAAATAGAACAACAGAAATTAATATACTACTGGCGCATGTGCATCTGACATCATGCGGAATTTACGCGGACCTGGACGAGAGAGGCGTTAAACAACAATACAATAACGTACCTTTCGCGAGACGCTGATCCATCTTAGTTTCTACGCGAACAGAGAGACCCATTCGAGCACGGAAACGGTAGATCCACATGGCGGATGCCATCCACTTGACATCAGGGTGCGACTTCATGAAGGAGCGGCTCCACTGCTTCACCGGCTTGATAGGGACTGCAAGGCCACGGCTGTGAAAGTTCAGGAGTTTCTCGTACACGTAGGCCTCCATATCTGGATACTTCGCTTTCCACCCTCCCCCGCTGAGTCGGCGTCGGCTCGGTGACGCCTTTTCTATCTGCTTCGCCACCTTCAGCCATCGTCGAACACTCACAGGCTGCACCCCGGCGAGACGTGCGGTGTGGCATACGGAGAGGCTTTCCTCCTTCATCCGCACAAGCCATTCTTGCTTCTCCCCCATAGTACGTGCCGTACGCTTGTGTCCAGTCTGGCGTGCGCGGGGACTTGATGGCATGCCGTTCGTCTTTGGTTCGGGGCCCGTTTCGTCGTGAACGAGATCTTCAGGGAACTCTGGGAGCGGGAAATCCCCGACTTCCTGCTCCATTTCTTCGTCATCCTCGCGGTTTTCGTCTTCAGGCGCGGGTTCAAGAAACCCCTCGTCATTGACCAGTTCGAAGAGCGGTCTTGTATGGTGGTCGAGGAAGGCCAAAGGAAGCACAGGGGGCGGAGGAGGCGCAGGAGGAGCTGGCGGATTCGGCAGGTTGGGAGGAGCAGGTGGCGCGGCGGTGCAGGGCTGGTAATCAACACGATCGCCGGCTCAGAAGACGTTCCGCCTAAGCTCGAACGGCAGGAGCGCCACGGGCTTTCAAATGCCGACATGTCTCTAGTCTACGCCCACACTAAGAGAGTGGGCTTGCATGGGTGTGTTGAGCAATGACTGGCTACTTGTATTGAGATTCACAACCCTGCCTACGCAACGAGAAACACAACACACTACCTTGGCCCACGCTAGCTAGAGAGGTGCTCGGCTGACTGTTGTTGGGCGTGACGTGACCCATCTCGAGCACCACGTCCCGAGCCTGTGAAACCCTCGTGAGGGAACCTAATGAATCCGGCCCACATGTGCACCATGACGTGGCCAGGTTGGGGCACCTTCAAGACTGTTGTGATGGGCGGTTCGCCAAAATTGTGCGCGAAAACACTCGTCGTGCCTCGCCAATCGACGCGTGTCATAAGCGACTTCATGTCTGTGGTGCTGTAAACGGGGAATTCGAATGTGTAAAATAAAGCCCCCCCCCCCCCCCCCCCCCCCTCCCCCTATACGAACTGTGCTGTGCACTGGTAAATCCAATAATATTAATAGCAAAATAAGTGTACCCGGGACTTATAAAACTACTGCCACCTAAATGTCCACCCTAGCTTATTTTCCTGCATTTGTAGAGAGTCCCCCGGGTCCTATAGCCGGAACAATACGGTACGCTGTCTGACTCTTCTCCCTCTGTTGCCCTGGACAATTTACTTTCCAGACAGTTCATTCTATTTCAGTTGAATCATTTGTTAAATTCTGGCGCCCGTCTATAACATACACCACCTAACAATTTCACTAAGAAACTACCGCAAGACAACATTTTTGTCCTAAACAGTAGCTCGCTGATGTGCGAAGTCGTAGCCCCTTTTCTCAGTGTTGCACGCCCTGTGAGTGCCCATGCCTCATCCGTGATGCATGGTGGGGGGCTGCATGTACCCCATGTGGGGGAGGGGCATGCCATGCGCTGCCACCACGGGCCGGGCCAGGTGGGTGCGCGGGCCATACGCGGGGTGCCCGGGGGCGGGCGGCATGGGCATCATGCCATGGTGCACGTGCCCCATGGGCGGTGCCCCTACAGGCGGGCCAAACACAGCAGACGCAGGTGGCATGGGCTGCGCATGGGACGGCACCCCCTGGGCATGTGTGTGAGCATGAGCGTGGGCATGGGCATGTGCGTGTTGGTGCTGCAGTGCCTGCTGTGCGCCCCCACTAGCGGTCCCCGCCGGCTGCCCCGTGATCGGCCCGCTCTGCTGCTGCCCGGCGTCGCCGGCACCGGCAGCGGCGGCGACGGAGGTGATGTCGTGGATGGAGGAGCGGCGCTTGTCCTTGTTGATGGCGTTCAGGCGGATGAAGTACTTCTGCGCGTGTGACGCCACCTGCGTGGGCGTGCGCGAGATGACAAAGTTGCGCGAGATGCTGCGCCAGTCGCCCTTGCCGAACTTGGCCAGTCCCAACAGGAAGAGCCTGCCGGGGGAAGCAGAGGAATGGGCATGAGAGGAGAGGCGTGGGCAGAGGCATCAGCAAGGAGCAGATATGGGGGACATATGTGAGGGTTTAGGGAGCGGGTGCTGACATGCACTGCCATGGGTTGACATGCACTGCCATGTGCTGGCATGACACAGCACAGAGCAGCACAGCACGGCACGGCACGGCACGGCACGGCACGGCACGGCACGGCACGGCACGGCACGGCACGGCACGGCACGGCACGGCACGGAACGGCACGGCACGGCACGGCACGGCACGGCACGGCACGGCACAGTATGGCACAGCACAGCACAGCATAGCACAGCACGGCACAGCACGGCACAGCATAGCACAGCACAACAGAGCAGGGCAACTGGCGTGCAATGCTTTCTTCCAGCGTTGCCCCAGTGACAGCCGGGCCCCTGCCCATAGCGTGCACCAGCGTTCCTCCCCCTCCCCCTGCCCATAGCGCGCGCATGCCTCCCTCCCCATCCCCCCGCCCATGCCGCACACATGTGTTCGCACCCCCACCCCTCCCCTCCCACCCATGCAGCGCACCTGTGTTCCTCCTCGGTCCACGGGATGCCCTTTCGCCTCTCCTGCTCCGACCCTCGCGCCTGTTGCGCCGCGGCCCCTTGCGACGCCTGCTGCTGCGACGACGCCTGCTGCTGCGACTGACCCGCT